TTTTATTTTCAGTGGAGTTGACTGACCTCCAAGTCAGGTTTTGTCGGTCATGATATTAATATCTGATCAGTGCTTGGCTCCTCTATTGACAGGACTTCGTAGAGGTTATTTGAGTTAAAAGTCACAAGAGCTGGATTTGTGTTTTTTGTTGCAATCCAGCTAGTTGCTGAATGGGTAAAGTTAAGGTTGCGCTTAACAACGTGGCCAGCTTCGGCTTGTTTACGGAGGCGCACCTCTGCGTTTATGCTACGAACTAAACTCGCCTATGCCTTGGTCTACGGTGGTCTCGAGGCCTTAGGTCTTAGCTCGCAACTGCTGTCATCGGCCGGGTGTGGGCCGTGGCAGTGGATGCAACGGCTGGGATAGGTGTATGCAGCGATATTAGCCGTACATGGTTTTATATGTTGGTCTTCAGAATACTCTATAGATCCGTAGAGACGGCATCTAGGGCTGGAGCCGCACACCCGGGTGTTGTACCAGGGCCAGCATCGATTACACTGGGCTACAGTGCGGCTTTAGCAAGAATTTTTGCTTTTGTACAGCAGCCGAAAATATAGATAGCGCGTAAGAGGCGTTATGAGCCTCAGGGGAACGCATAATCCAGGCCGTTGAAGATGATGCCGAGTTTATCTCGTTATTTCAGGATGCCATGATGGCCATCGGTGCTACACCGGCAGCAGCGCAGAGAGCTTCGTGCATAGCTTCAGTAGTGACAGTTTCCAGGATGTATTTCCACTCTTCATCGGTACGGGTTATTTTTCCGTAGTTGCGGGGTACATTCTCAATTATGTAAGAAAACCAAGGGTCTGCGTTCTCAAATGGAGCGTCCCCAAAAAAGCTAACTGTGCCTATTTTTTCTTTAAATTTTGCTATCTCCACCATTGAGGTAGAAGGTAAATCCTGTTCTTGCAGGCTTTGCGTTGGTGGGCAATGAGCCATCGTTCTCTAATTTTGCTTTTAGATGGAATTGTATAGTGTTTGTAGGGAGCTCTCGGGTTTTGTCGCCCTCCGATAGGCGTAAAGAAAGGCGGTCATCTGTGTGGTCGAGTTTTAGTTGCTTTTTAGCTCCGGGTCTAATTGGTGTAAGCGTTTTATGATTGATGGATTCCTGATTTTCGAGGGCACGTCTAGCGGTGTTATCATGAGTCGGACGAGTTATGCCATGAGTTTCTCAGCTGGGCGTGAGCGCGGGATTGACATCAATTGGAGGCTTATCATAAATATAGGCATCGAAATGGCGAGCTGCGATTTTTGCGAGCTTTTCAAAGGAATTTTTGAAAGCTTCGAATTGACTTTCAGGGAGAGGACCGCGACCAGCTCCTCTACAAAGGTTGTTGATTGATGTTGAAATATCACCATTAAAGTCTCAGCTTCTTTGGCGCGAATGGAGACTGAGTTGAAGCAATTAGAAAGCGCCTCTTTTATAAGGCCACTTAGACTTGTGTATAAAAACGGATTATCTGGTGAGTCGTCATAAACAAGGTTACCTACTCCCACAACGAGATGTTGTTGGCTGGTTTTATTGAAAGGCTATGCTGAGATGGGAGGACGTACCGTTAGGATGAAGGTATGGAAGGAGGTAGCTATGGCTTTAAGAAAATTGAAGTTCATGAATTACACTCTTAGGAACTGGATCAATGAACGAGCTTGAGGATATTCCCAAGTATTCTTAAGTGTGTAAGTAATGTGGAGATTGTTTAAATTTTCTATTTTATGAATTATTTATATTATCTGCGTGACAGGACCTTCCTCTATATACATGAATAAGGAGGTTTCTGCACAATAGTGGATGTTCCAACACATCTCCTTGTATACCCGAGAAAGGAAGGATGTGAGATGTAGTTGCGCCAATAGATACACTACGGATCTATTGGTAAATACAATGCCATACCAATGTGTGATGATCTAGGTCGGAGGGTGTCAGACCAGGATCAGAGCCCGATGAAATTCGTATTCCTGAATTAATGTTTCGTGATTCATGTAAATTCCATTATTATAACATGATTGTAAAGTTGCTGTCAGATTATAGTGCCAACTGGGTTGGATGGTGCAGTGGTACACCATCCGGGCCATAACCCTAGGTAGATACCTGTTAACTTAAGGACCCCCATACGAGTTAATAATTTCCGGTTTTAACCAATAACCCTCGCACACCACTCTCTCTCGCGAGGACATCATTCTTGTCGGATAATGAATGCATGCTCTGACGTCCGTAAGAAATTCATGCCTTTCCCTGTGGTTGTTGTGCGCGTAAGAGATTGAGAGCCTCAAGGGTTAACCGCGTTTGGTGTGTACACATGAAAACTGAGCGTGATTGTTCTAAATGATAAGTTGTTTCATCCAATTTAAGGTACATATTTCCCGACAAAAACCTGGGTAACCATCAAAGCGCCAAATCAGGTGTAAATGAAACAAATTTTTAAAACGCCATGCTGGCTACTGACATAATTTATGGTTGTCTAAAGAAAATCTTGGTTTTTATGGTAATTTTCAGCTAGAAAATACTTAGCGTCGGTGTAACAGACTTGGTAGACTGGTATTGAGTCTGTTTAGGATCTCATCTTGGCTACAACATGTTTAGGTTGTGTCTTGCGATGTAAGGAAGTTATTTCTAGATATTATTATCATGTGTCAGGTAGTAAATATGTATAGATATATAAGCTGAGAGAAAGGGGAAGGAAGACAGACAGACAGACAATTACATCTTTTTATTTCACTTCAATTAAAAGCTCCTGTGCGAGCTATTCTTCCAGATATCTCTAGTCTCAATCATTATAGCTTCCGAACCAGCTTAGAAGGTTCGACAGAGGGCAAGACAGAACACCTGTACGCGGTGTCCTCTACGAACCTGAGAGTGAAATATTCTCCCAGAGTCAAGATCAGTCAAGTTTCGCAATATTGAAGAAGTTGGCCCACGAGGCAATGATTCAAATTACTCCTCCACGACGTTTTTTCGCTCCCGACGAGTTTGACGCCTACTTGAGTCTCATCAAGCCTACAAGTATGACCTAGTACATCCTCATCCCAATGACCACACCTCTCTTCGACCTTCTCTGACCTCAGTTTTCCACCAAATATACGCCCACGCCGATATTTACACCCGACGGAGGAAGCAAGGCGTGGGGCGCAAATCTGGGACACTTCTTTGGGATGGAAGTGAGAGGGATTAGGACAAGTTCACTGGATGATGCAGAGGATGGATACATTCTAGACGGGCGTGAAATTTCGAATTGTGGGAGGAGTTTTACGAATTGGGCTTTGTGCGCGCCAAGGCCTCGCTTGCGAGAGTGCAGCTGACACTATAAAATCAAGCCGACGATAGACGTTGTTATGGTTAGCCTCCTGGTGGTGTTCTCTGGTATGGTTTGAGTAGCCGGGTCACCTACTCCACTTGGGAAGGAGACATCTCGGATTACATTTCGCGCGGTGAAAAGTCGATGGATGATGAAGGCATGTCTGGATAACCCAGGGTTTTTGAGACGTTCCCCTGGGTGGGTATTCACGGATGAGGGTTGATTTGGGGTGAAGAAAAAGCCACCATAACTTCGCAGTGGTACTTGCAAATGAAATCCGAGGCATGAGTGCTCTTCTTGTTAATTGAGTCATCTAGTATACACTTCTCTGATATTGAGTCATAGCTAGATAGCTGCATACGCAATTAAAATCTGATGCAAAAAAAAAGATCTAGGTAAATCATATCTAATGGCGCATGTGCACCTTATTCTAATATGAACAGTTTATTGTAATGCAATCATGTTGCTCCCCTAATTAAAACAGGTTTAGGGAATGAAATACATAGTATAAGTGTCTCTGACGTCAAAAGAGTCATCCCACATGTATACATAGCACCGGTCAAGTGTCATAGCTCTAAAGCTGAATGCACTTAAATGATTTATAAAAAAAAAAGAGAAAAGGACATTGGTATTGGCTCTATGGAGCTGGATCACTCATGAGTTATGAATGATGTATACAAGGTGGGAAACGTGTATTGTAATTTTATTAAGTCTTTATTAATATAAAAATTTTGATTTCATTTCAACAGTTGACAGACGAATTTTTCCTTCCGAGTCCGGAGATTCCTACGAGCGGGGCGTCCAGGAGATGTAGAATAAAGAATCGGTGTCAATTTTCGCGGCCGATAGCTCCTGCCGGATTTCAGCAACGGATAGAGCCTCAGGGAATCCGGATGAGTTGTGCCCATATTCCAGAACCGGGCTGAAAAGCAAGTTTGCTCATTTTTCCTGCCATTCAATCAGAAAATTTCCTATCACAGGCTGTGGAGCAACAGCTATTTGAGGGGGTTTTGGAGCCTGGCATGGGGAGGGAGCCACGAGAGCGATGCCAGATGGGACCGAATAGATTTCCTTTATTAGCTCTGGACGTTCTAAAAGACTTCTCAGCTTCGTGCAGATGAGAAGAGCGTCTTCGTGTCGGAGGGGTGGTCCGGTGCTAGGCGGACCCCAACTCTCGCATCGAGCCTGAGTTTTACTATCACGAGTGCAGCTTTATTTGAGACAGTAAATAGTAGGTCTTTATTTTTGCATCAGATTTTAGATTGCGTAGGCAGCTAAATGATAGGACTGGGGAAGGCAAGCCTTTTTTATCATTTAACTTCAGCGCAAGGGATAGGACCAGGGATAGTTTATGCGGAAGGCGCCGCACATAACGGGCCGCAACTCAGTGGAGTAGGAGACCGGTTGAGTAAATGATTGTCATCATCAGTGTACCCTTTACATCATCAATTCTCAAGGCCTTTGCCTTTTTTTTAATAGCTTTAGAAACGGAAGAAAATTGATCAAGGTTGAACACATCGCAAAGGAATCTAAATACTTAGTAGAGATATCTAAATTTCATAACCGTGAGGCATTGATGGTGTTAAATTTTCAGATTCGCGAATAAACTAGTTCTTAATACACAGTAGACTATAATTTAACGTTAAATTAAGACAGCCGCTTTATCGCAATAGAAGTAAAAAGTTTATCTCATGTAATAAATATTTACTACTTATCTTTTTTTTCGTAACTTTCAGAGACATTGAGTCCTAATCCCTCTGAATCCAGAAATAATTTATTCTTGCCACCTGAATCATTCAAAATCTGTGCAATTGCCCGGGCGTTCTCAATTCGCTTCAGATCCACGTAAGAACGACTCTTCTTGATAGCATCTCCAATCAACTCGGCAGATCGAGCTTCTCCCTGAGCCCGAACAACCATAGCTTGCTTCTCTTGGCGAGCTTTCTCAACAACAAAAGCAGCTCGTTGCGCTTCTTGTTGCGCTACTTGCTTGGCTTCTACTGCTGCGGTAAATTCAGGTGAAAATGCAAGGTGCTGTGCAGGTTAGAAGAGCATTGTTTGTGATGTATAATTCTAACCTACCGTCAATGAAACGTCATCCAGCATGATATTGAAAATTGCTGCACGCTTTGCTAAGTTCTCCCGAACTAGTCTTGCAACATTCTCACGCTGTGTGATTAGTTGACTTGCATTAAATTGTGCCACGACACTTTTGAGCACCTCGTTGACAATAGAGGGTAGAATTCTTTCGTCGTAATCCGTACCGAGGTTTCGGTAGATTTGGGGTAGAGCATCGATTCTTGGTCTCGAGAGTACACGACACGTAATATTGACCATCTGTAAATCTTTCGTACCCGTAAGAGATGCTACATTACGCGGCTTTGCTCGTACATCATAATCAATAGGAGTCTCGAACCATGGGATTTTGATGTGTGTGCCTAGGATCCTAGTAAGTCCAAAAGTTTGCGGTCAGTGGCAATGCCATACCTTCAGAGTAGATATCTTTGGCTACTCCGCCTATTCTCGTATACTTTATGGCCCTGTGACCACCATCAACATTGAATATAGAATGACTTAGAACCCAAGCAGCTCCTCCAATCAGAACAGCAGCTGTACCGGCACCACCGACACCTTTGGGCATACGACCACCAGATCTACCTGCTTCCGCAGCCTTCATTTGGAGCTGCCTCCATATTTCCTGAGGGCTTGACATTTTTTGTGTGGATGATGGTGGTAGATGGCGTTGCGCGTTGTAAGATAGAATAGTACAGGGGTTGTAAATGCCTGATAAAGAGGGAAAACTACGCTCTAACAGCAGTTAGCGCGCCTTCTACACACGCTAGAGATACCGATATTACTAGGAACACCACAGCAGGTTTCCATCGCAAATCTACCTGAGCCAGGCATGTCATAAACACCACTGATAGGACGTCTTATCGATACAACTCGACTAGGATATTAATGGCCTTGGAAACTCCGCTAAACAAGAAACAATCTTTCGCCCACCTCAAGATACTCCTATCGACTTGAAGTAGAGGCATAACAGTTTAAACCATCCGTTACGATTTCCCCTTCCAAATCGCACAAATTTTATAATCTCATTGTTCCAACGTGCAACTCTATCATTACTACTTGGCTAGGCTTGTGTGATTCTATCATTGGCAGGTACCCGAAATGTCTAGTAAGCAGCCATCAAAATCTGTCTTTGTGGGGAATATTCCGTATGGTATGTGGGCCTAGGTCACTGAGCGTAAACAAATATTGACGACTGTAAATAAGGCCTCACAGAAGAACAGATCATACGCATATTCAGCAGCGCTGGGAAAGTTCTTAACTTTCGCTTGGTGTATGATCGTGAGACAGGACGCCCCAAAGGATTTGGTTTTGTAGAATTTCCAGATTCAGGTTCGAAAACTGTTAGACTTGCTTGTGATGCGATACTAATCTGTGAGACAAAGACTCCGCCTCTTCTGCGGTGCGTAACCTTAATGATTACGAAATTATGAACCGAAAGTTGCGCGTTGACTTCTCCAACGATGGCAACGACGAAGATAACGGCACAGTTTGTTTTCCTCACTTTATCACCGTTTATCTAACCTCTCGTTAGTCCGGTCTTCCTAATTTCCCAACCTCCAATGGACTACCTCCACCAACAACAGCACATACAATGGCCCCTCATACAAACTCAGCGTCTGTAGCACCCAGTATTCCACCGCTCCCCCTCGGTGTCGATGTTCCTCCAGGTCTCACATGTCCAGATGCTATTTCTCGCACACTCAATACTCTTCCACCGCAACAACTCCTCGACGTTCTTTCTCAAATGAAGACACTCGCTACTACCGACGCAGCAAAGGCTACAGAACTCCTTCGTCAAGCCCCTCAACTTTCCTATGCCATATTTCAGGCCCTTCTGCTCATGAACCTTATATCTACTGAAGCACTTAGTTCTGTGGTTGAGCAGGCAGCAGCTGCTGCGCCCCCAAATCATCACGGAGCTGCCCAGTCGCAGCAGGTAGTTCCGCCATCGTATGGAGCTCCTCCAGCCCATCCACAAACATATCCGGTCTTGCCACAAACATATGGTGTGGCGCCCATCCGTGCCTCACCGGCAATTCAACAAACACCACAACCACAACATACGACCGCCGCTGCTCTAGATACTGAGCAATTAATGCAGCAAGTGCTAGCAATGCCACAAGAAGTTATTGACAGCTTACCAGCTGCTGAGAGAAATCAGCTACTTTCCCTTCGGGCGAGTTATGGACGCTAAAAACTTCTAAATATCTTCAAACATGGAATTATTCCTGGCGGAATATTTTGTTTAATTGCTCAACTCGATTATCTTATTCAACTAATTTCAAATCAAACCTGAAAATATCGAGTACCATATTCGAGCAAACCAAAGAAGCTAACCAGCGCATTTTGACACTTGCAAATAATTTATTAAAAAATAATATTTTATTATCCGGATACGAATACAAGGAGGTTAATTCATAGATAAACTCTAGATTCGCTCGTAGGCATCATGCACTAGTCTTCAAGGAAGAAGACGGAATTATGGAATGAGAAGGAATAGGAAATCAAGTCTGTACAAGATAAACTAAGATCAACTTTCCGTATTGTGCTAAATCCTCATTTTACGTGACAAACTCTCCTAAAGAGGAACCAATATACTGTCATTACCTGGTCTTTAATTTCGGGTGGGCTTTTCTTGATATTACAATTACACTAGTCACTTAAGTGGTGTAAAATCCTAACAAGAATTGCACCTTGGGATCTTTCGCGCAATCGGATTCGAAGTTCCTAATGATTAGACTTCAGTGTGGTTATGTGATATTAGCTGTTGAGAGTTGCACATCATCTACATCCCTGCATAGTTTTATTAGTGCCCCTGATGATAGGGCCGGTAGAGCATGGAGGTTATTCAGTCATTCAAAGTTAGGCTATCACAGAGCACTGTGTCTTCGTGTTTCCGGGTGAGAATGAGCCACGCCTAAGTTGGGATTCAGCTCGACTAAGCGTAATTTCTGTTGCAATAACCTTATCTAGAACAATATTTACTTTTGCAAATTCTCTTCAAATGAATGTGAGCAGAATAGATAAGAGCAAAATTTTTCAATATCATAGAGCCTACTCCTTTCCAAAAACCAGGATTCCTGGTGTCACCTGTCCAGTTCGGTCACCAAGCTGCTGCCAAAAGTTGAGCATTATGGCTACGAAGAATACGAAACAGAGCATAGTAGTTCCATAGCGATCATGATATCGAATTGCCCTCCGATGGCGAATCGCATAGGATCGGTAACTATACATTGTCATAGCGTATATTGTGCTCAACAAAGCGACAGTAATAAAGGCTAGTGCAGGGAGGAAGTCCGCCAAACGGGATTTAGATCCTAGATTGAGGACAGTCACAGATATATAACCAATATAAACACAGTATTCAAGCTAAATATCATTAGCGAGTATATCAGTGAAAAATTGTAAGATAAAGTAAAAATTTGGATTGAAGTTGAGGGAATTTCAGATTTGAGTACTCACCCAAGACAAGTAGGTCCTTTCCGCTGCAAAATATACCTTCGGTTCGATTCTAATGGGAACATGAATCTTTTTACCGCTGGGGGCTTTAAACCGGCTATCAACCACCAGTCTTCTTGCTTGAGCTTGTGCCGGCCTTTTCCGTGATACTCGAAATGACTGCAAGAAAGCTAGTATCGCCTGACTAGCACGAGCATGTAGAAGCTTTAATTGGTACGTCCAGCCGCCAATTCTACGAGCCTCTTCCATATCTATTACTTTGTTGTCTTCATCGTCGGATTCGTATATGGAAAATTCAGGTCCCACTAAAGGTAGGCCAACAATCTCTTCTGTATCTAAGCTATTACCGTGAGCGTGATGGTCAGAGATGCAACTATCACGAGTTTCGTGGGCCATCTCGTCTTCTGTTGCGGAATCTTCGTCAGAATCTTCGTCTTCATCATCATCACTCGTAGAACTAAGTGCCGAGTGACGTGTGCGACGAATTCCAAATTTCTGGGTAACAGGTTTCCGTATGTCGATTTGCATTTGAGGCATCCAATAAGGGAGAAGGCGAATACGAGTTGGAAAAAGTGTAGCTGTTCCATGAATAAATTTAGAAAATTTAGGGACAGCCTCAACTAGATGACTTGAGATCAATTCGCGCACCCACTCAGGAGGTTCTTGACCTGCCTGCGTCTGAAGCTTTACTTCCAGGACGGCGTAGGGGAAACGCTCAATATCTTCGGGGGGTAACTGGGAAAATGGATAATCAATTCCAATATCCATTCGTCTCCAATTATCTCCCGCTCGCCTACAGTTGTCTAAATTATCCTCACGAATCATTGTCAACTCGGTGTCAAGCGAAATCCGGACACGTGCGTCAGCTGGGAGCTGAAATGCAGTTCTATTGTAAAAAGACCGACAAACTGGCTTGTAGTTATTCTTTAGGATGGAATATTGTATCTCCTTTGCCAATCGTTCATCGTCATCCAGTTGCCTTTGAGGTTTTGTCCCATCTTTTCGTGCCTTTTCGAAGATATGTTCGGGTAGAAGGGTGCCGTTGAGATAAGTGTTCATATTCTTCTCCTTCAGACTGAAGCGTGCTTTTACTGATTTTTCACCTGTCCAATCTTCTCGGTGCGTCTTTCGTTCAACGAATATTGTCTCGGTATCCATGCTACCATACCATCTCATTCTTATAGCTTCGGCACCTTCAGTTTTTTTTAGCCGTCCTTTGTAAAGTTCCCACGTGTTATAGTTATCATAGTAGATAGAAGTTATAGCAGAGTCTTTGGCATCAAATTCTTTGTTAGCATTAAAGACAAGAACAGGGAGATGCTAAGTTCAAGTAAGTTTAAAGGCTAAAGTTGGTCCAAAATTTCTATTATTGAAATTACCAGGTCATACCTTTAGGATAATGAGCTTGACTTCAGTTATATTGTCTGGATGTACCCAATACTTCGTAGTCTGTCGAATAAAATTACCCTGAGCTCCTCCAGCTGAGCTATCGCCCTGAACTGGATTACCGCGCGTGCGCACAATATCATACAGTTTGGATAGTTTTATGATGTCTGCATCGTAGTTGTCTTTGTAGAACGGTTTGGCTTTGAGTCTAGTCGCAAAAACCGGCTTGAGCATCCAGCTGGTTTGTTTCTCAATCCATCAGTCTTAATATCTAGCAAATTATTATAGGTGCTTACGTCATGTTTCTTGATTATTTTTTGGAACCCCGTATAATTGAGCTGCACAAATTTGGCCAGATCATGAACATCCGCGATGATATCGCTCAAATCTTCCTCCAGCATGATGAATTCAGCTTCTGACGGTGCATCTTCATGCCGATTGAGTCTAATTGTTACCTCTCCTACCTCTCGCTCGCTGGTGGCAATACGTCTACTGATTTCAATTGCCTTGATCTTCTGCTTTGTGTGTACCTTATCCAATTCAGACTCCAAGCGTGCCAAAAAATTGGTCTCATCTTCTTCAGTCCATGGCTTACGTTTTCCACGTGGATTGTTTTTTGAAGGTTGTTCGAGGAAGTTAGTCTTAAGCTGATCCTTTAGTTCATCGTACACAATATAATACCATTGATACTCTTTGATCACACTCGTGCGAAGCTGGTCGCCAAACTTCATTGTATTCTAACCGTCAAGAATATGTGTGGTAGTATTATTGACACGAAAAGTGTTTAGAGGAAAGATGGTAAGTTTTTTTCGGTTCTCCAAGACGTTTGCCATAGACAGCTTGCTGTCAAGAGAGTTCTGGGCAGCCTTGTTACACGAGAGTGCTAAACATAACTTGGAGAAATGAATTACTTCGGCTGTAGAGGTAGCGAAAGGAACCGGTGGTAAGGCTGTTTCGCCCATGTGGCAATAGCCATGCCAAGTAGCACTGGTATATGCATTGTTGGGCATGTTATCCGTGCGAATGGGCCTTCCTTTGCACAGGACTAAAGGCTCGCGTAACTCCTGTCCCTTCCTTTCATCGCGGTCCATGTGAGGGCCTATTGAGCCACAGTGCCTTCGCCCAAATTGGTAGCGTACGTAGGATTCACAAAGCAAGTTTCAGCTTTTCCTCTGCTGTATAGTGTCAGTGGAGAATGAGATTGCTCGCAAACACACATCTCATCTTCACTATACAAATCCACTCTTTTTGGTTCATGCGAGACGTGTATTCCTTCAATTATTTTGCCTTTCAGTGTGTCAATGTCACCCTTCTGCTGGTCCGATTTCCCTTGCCACCTCATTACACTTAGACCACTACAGAGACGGTGTAAAGGCGGTGTGTATGGGCTAGAGGAAGCTTATGGATCTAGGAGCTGTAGGGACAAGCCCCTGACCTCACTGACGCTAGATTTTGAGACGATTTAAGAAATTCTAGAAGGATGATAACCTGTACAATTGGCGATTGAGAGGGTGTTAATATGCCGTCTACAGCATAAACGGCACTACCCTCTCTCCAAATTTGTGGCGGCAGGGAAGGGTAAATAACCACAAGGTTTTATGGTTGATCAACCAACAGTTAATGGAACATGGCAAGTGGGCTAATTATTATTTACTGCAACTTCATTGCCGCCGTAACTAGACTTTTGCCCCTATTTACAAGAGCTAAGAGGTTTGGACGCCCTCACGTAGGAATTAGGCAACCTTACTTCGTTGCCTTTCAGTTCTTCGTGCAATGGTGTAAGCACAACCCTAGACATCGCCGTTGTGCAAGGTCACAAAATGGCTGACCGACTTTGATCTGACTACACTAGGCATAGATCACCTTTACTGGAGCATGGCGAATATTTCGCACTAAAGCAACATCATAAGGGCTTCAGGACAGTAAACTTTATGTGATTGGGTAAGTCCTCTGTTACGAGGGGTCCCTGTTTTTTCCTGTAAATTTCGGAATTCTTTCGTAACATTTGCACCAATTAGAGCTGTACAATGTAGCTTATCTCAAAACACTCATGTGGAGAAGCTCGTTTAGCAACTCGCGAAACACTAGACTTGACGAGAAAAACTAAGATAAAAATACCCTGAGATACCCACACAAGTTCAAGAGTGGGTCTTCTACCACCTCGTTCAAACTCTGAGATTGCATAAGGTCTTTTTGAATCTTCTCCGGACATTCCTCACCTCAGCCTTCGTGACATGGAGGCCCCTAGCTCTCGGGGCACCTGACCCACCAAGGTAACATCTTTGGGAGATGGATATATGTTTTGTTTGGGTACCCATCAATTTATTTACTCGGTCAAAATCGCTTTTTGGATCGTGACATCAAGGAAAAAAACGCAGCAAGTTAGCCTGCGGTCAAAGGTATTTTTTCTTCCGTGATGGAAAATGTTAGAGCTCATACAAATTACAAGAGCAAGCGTGCTAAGCGCACAACTTCTGGGCTTCTCTCCACGACGATCACAAGTATTACTTGCGACCGCGGATGCGGTGTTTTCTTACGTAAAGCGACATCATCAGAAGCCGCAAAAGTGCAGCCCTATCAGTAAAAAGTCGCATATTCATATCTTATCCGATTAATTTGGCAACCCTAGAGAGTGAAATCCTAAATAGTTGCATGATTATCAAGGTATAATTCACAAACAGGTTGACTTATACCAGCAATCCAAAATTATCAGCTAGCCAGAAAACGGCCTAGCTGCTGGAGTAGAGGCTGTTGAGCATCGCTTCACTAAATTGGAGCACGATTGGACCTATCTTCAATCCCATTATCCAGCAAATTCTTTTGATCAAATAGATGATCAATATACATGCCATAAATTTGGGAAATTATCTCTGATCATGTAGAGTGATAATTAGCCCAGTACTATTGACACTGTGCTCTCCTTATCAGAAGGCTGCACTTCATTTTGCTGGGGATAACAAACACCGAACAATGACCATATTATCGAAGGCCATGACGTACATTGATTTAAAATGTTGCTGGAACGTTGTGATATATCTCATGCGGGCTTCCGTGATGTGGTGTCTGGTCAGTGGTCAGCCCCACGAGAATAGAATCTCAAACGTGTAATCGCACGCTCCGCCAATTGAACATGAACCATTTGAAGTGGGTCTCTATTTCTAAAAGTTGAAAGTTTGTTATCAGGGGGCACTTGGTGGGTACAAGGATAGTGCTAAACGATCCATCGGGACTACCAAACAATCTCCTACACTTGTCCTTTGCAGGCACTGTAAATTAATTGACAAGGAACATTGCTGGATGTACGTAGTAAGGTAAATGAGACGGCCCATGCTCAGGTAACCTGGAGGTGACTGACTTGAAAAGAGTATATGAGAAAGGACTCATTACTTGCTTTGACGCTCTGCCATAGCTCAAACGAGCCGCAACTAGGCAAAATAAGTCTCTGACTAGAAGAATTCGCAGACACCTCGCACGCGCCACGCGATGTCAAGCGTGACAGATGTATCTGTCGTCATTAAGCGCTCGATGAAGATAACAGGAGAGATCGAGTCGCGTTCTGCCATCACATACAAAATTATGTGACTACTTGATAGTCTAGATGTGTTCAGACTCACAAAACTCTCCTGGCGCATAGATGCACGGCCTATGAGGTATGTTCGACGGGATGGCTTCTCGGCCCTTAGTTTAGCCTCGCTTCTCGGACCTGCCCCTATCGCTCAACATCCTAGGACCGTAGCCCTGTTGAACTTGATTCGATGGGAGATCCGGATCTTTGATTCCGTCCCGTTCAGTCAATTCCTCTGCCTCTAACCTTAGGACATGGTGGTGAACACTGCGAGTCAGACGTACATCATCTCTCAAGGGGTTATGAATGGATACTTTCTGCCGATCCCCTAAAAGTTCCCCCCGACAGCCTGTCACACTCACGTCACTCGAAGTTGTAAGTGTATAACGAGATAGGGCTTGCCGGTTCATGAACAGAATGTGACTCCGCTCGTAAACTTACCCTTGTGTTGTCAAGGGCAAAGTGCCTTGCAAATGCCATGGATGTTTAGTGGTTAAATTACATTGTACCTCTGGAGCAGTTAAGTTGGAGTCCATCAGAATTTAATTGAAGGCGAAACCGGCAGTAGGAACTCGGGTGAGTTCGGACAACGAGACCCTCAGTAGTTTCGGCACTCAGGGCTCAGAGAAGGTGAAGGATATCTCGAGCTAGCTGACAACAATGTTCCAAAATAGATGTCATAAAAGATCACTCGGCCTGCATATGATCAGCCGTCATTGATCCCAGTGTTGGTCGGGTTTGGGGGTCATTGCTTGCCACATACATGTTGCCGATCGAAACTGACGATCCGCTAGACTAGGGAGGTCCCGTGGATCCACAACTAAAACTGTGAGGGTCGATGATTCGATTGGCCAAATATAGAAAATACATGTAATGGCTGTTGCTTTGGAAGAGAGTTTGTGTAGATGGATTTCGGGATACTTGTCGGGATGAGTGTGTTCAGCTTTCTGTAATGGAAAAAGTACGATGAATCTCCAATTCTTCTCAGGTCCCGGCGCACATAAAGATTTCAATGTGTTCAGGAAAGCGGTAAGGGCAGGAGCAATTATTGGAGAGAGAAAAATGGGAATGATCAATGAAAGGCTTCAATTTAGGCCGATACATTTCCGACTACGAGGAAAATATTAACAACAAATGCAAGGGTATTCTACGACCCTACATGATTCTACAGTGGTAGTTAGGTCGGTCTTCCCGGCTCACACGACGACGCCGCCGCCGCCGCCTCGAGATCTGCCCGCTCACCAGCCCTAACCCCCAGTACAATTTTTTCGCTAGTTTGACTTCTCTAGTAGCGTCTCAATCTAATGCGAGTATATTTCTATATTAGGGCACTCGACCGAGGGTGTCAGCTAAAGAATTCGTTTACAGCAGATCTTTTGTGTCTTTGATCTCATCTTGCCTAATTATCCTTGACGCCCGTATGCACGCGGGGAAAGACCTTGCAAGCCCAGAAAGCCTGCTATATGTCAAACTGCTCGTCGCTCTCGCATACCTACGCCGTTTTTTGGTCCAGATTGATGGGCAAAGAGCAAGTGGGCTAGATGAGCAGCAGGGTTATCAAATCCTCGACTTAATTTCCTCCCCTAGGCTCTTCGGAAAAAGAAGGATAAAGATTCTTATTCCCCCCAACCCTGGTTACTAGCACAGAGCACAGCATAGCTCAATTACTCGAAAAGGGCCACAACTTAACAAATATAGCACATTCTGCACCCCATCTCTTGCATTACCTTAGACTTCACGGCTCGGCATCATGGCTTCATTCGCTATTCCGCAAGATGACTATTTTGAATGGGAAGATATCATAACTGATGACTACGTTCCTACCCTCCAACATTTCACCTCCAAACACCCCGATTATTTTCACGTCTCCAACAGCGATAATTACCAGATCAAATCTACGGAATTCGAAAAATCCAGCCACAAGTCTTTCCCTTACGATGACCATCAATTTCACTGGGTACATCCTTCGGAGTCCCGGTTGCCAACGGTCGATTCGACTCGAGAATTATCCTCAAAAACCCTTTCAAAGCCTGAAGTTTGTGTTATCGAAAAAAAACCAACACAGAAGTGCCCTGCACGCAACACATCCAACGTGTCGTGTGAGATAGAAACCCGGGACGATAGTGGATTGAAGCCTCAGCCTGTCCGTAACGTTGACTACCTGTCTTTTCCGTGGCATCAATGCGAGTCGGACTTGTGGGCCTCGCACAAGTATCTTCGTGTCACTCGGAAGCAACATTCACAAGAGCACACATATAAGCGGCTCAAAAATGCATGTTGGCGAGCTGTTGCAGTTGGCAGGTTAAATTTAGATCCTGTTGATCCGCAGAAGCTTAACTGGTAAATTTCACTTCCCCTAAATTCTACAAAGAACCAATCCTAACATACTCCACCAGGTATAAGGATCAGGACGATACCTGGCTTCACGGACCATTCGTAGAAAGTCCCTCATTCAAGAACTCACTACCCCCCACTGTGAGGGTTCCTTTGTCAGAATCACAAAACGAACTTGACGAACGCCCAATAGCTTCCATCTTGAAGCAATCATCACCAACAGCTCTCTTGTTGCGAGGCTCTATAACTACCAGTGAAATTCGACCAAGCCGTCCTATCCATACGCGACAAGCTACAGCTAGAAAACTAAGACAAAGATTACGCTTTGCGGCAGAGGTGAAGCAATATATGAGTCTTCCTTCCGAAATAACGGAACCTGAAACAGGTCGTCCTCTGATAGGCATGAGTCCTACAAGAACGGTCTATCAGTTACCTTCTGGAAGGCTCCGAGAAGAGCACATTTCGGAAGAGGTTGACGCTTTGCGAAGCGCTCTGCAGGACGTTGTGGCAACTCGACCACTCGAAAATTCTTACCGAAGTAATCTCATGGGCTCTAAGCAGGACTACGCCTCTGAGGTTAAAATCCGACAATACTCCTTCAGTAGTGACTGGGTATGCCTCGGTGGGCTGAATGTCGGAGAAGGCACCAACCAAACCCCTATAGATGATGATGAAATAAACTGGATTTTAACGACTAGCGAGCAGGACTATGTCAATCCATGGAATAGCATCCCGTCGTCTGGATTAGCGGCAAACGACCGTGGCATACCTTCGCTAAACGGTACAAGTGCAAATATCTTCCCAAAAGTCTCGCCCGGACTGCAGTCACCGCCCGAGCTCTTTGATAGCTCCAGTGGCAGTGTCAGTGAGGACGATTTCGATGAAGTCATGGAGGAGTTTAATCTTATTCTTGGATGAACTTGTAATAAGGCTAGCTGTAACTAGATTCGATGGAGATAGGACGGACACAGGTTTTGGACAGCAGGAAATAACGGTTGGTCACTGACGCGATTGCGAGAGCCCCGAAATATTTGTAATGGCACTCAAAAGTACACTCTAATAGACATGGGCTAGACCTGGACAAGTCTCTTACCATGGAGATATACAATACAATTAGGCCTTGAGAAATTCTTTCGAGTGACACGTGTCTTCGTAGCCGAGAACTGGATTAAATCTGACGCGACGCGAGTCGTTAGACTACGAAATGATTGTCATCTAAACCCTAAATTATCTTACACCAAGTCTGTGGCCTAAAGTGGCGATGAGGTCATTAGATAGGGCACGGGCCAAAAGGGGCCGGAGCCGTCTTCCCAAACAAAAGATGTGGTCCTGCATGTCAACTAGCTCTCGGATACGGCAAAACGACTTGGTATTGGGTATCCCATGGAATCGGGGACTGGATTTCCAAGTTGGTATCGGTTGTGGCCACTGGGAAGCGTTGAGCGGACTAGCTGTAGAGGAGGACTTGGTCACGTTCCGAGGGCCCAGCGCGTACCAGGCCATGTGATTTATTGGCTTAGCGACTGAGCCAAAGTCAAACCAACTAAGCGCCACGTTTAACTTAGGCACGTGACTTAAGTAAATTCAAGCTGGTTTGTGCGCGTCGTCACGAGAGACCCTGGCCTGTCACAGCCTCGCGTACGCCGCCGTCGTTGCCGCGGGGGGTTTCGGGCTGGATGGCCTGCTCTGCAGACACGGGGCGAGCCTTGGCGACATTAGCGCACCGTCTCGTGATTGGCCGCATCGTTTGGTGCGGATCCCGGTCTGGGGTGGCCGGCAGCGACATGGGATCGGGGCAGTTTGGGACTCCACCGGCTCGGCTGGGCTGCGTTACGCGCGATTGCGTCGGGATCCCAAATGAAATAAAGGCCTAGCAAGTCCAGGGAACCGGGTCTCAATTTCGTCGACAATTGACTATTGACGCAAAGGGTGTTGCTCTGAGAATAGATCTTAACGATGAAGATCCCTCGGAAGCCATGAGATGGATGCACGTGGATCAGAGAGGACCGTTAGCCGTGGTGTTGGCGAACATCCGTCAGAAAATATTTATACACATACGATGCTGAATACTATGTCCAAATCTATACCCATTTCATATCACAAGTGATCGTCAACCCCGAATTAGCTGCATCAACAACTAGGTATTGAGTCGAAGGATGTACACGCATATGCCTTGTGCTACAAGCGTCTCCTGGAATGCTTAGCCAATGGCCTCGATACGCTAGAATTAGAGAAGTTTACGCACCATCAGCGCCCGTCATCTCTTTCTCTCGTCAGCCGATCGCCGCGACGATGCGGGCTCGCGGGATAACTAATCCTCAGGCGAAAAGAGATGGGCGGCCTTGCAGTCGAGGTCGCAGCATGCGGGCCAGTATGGGGCGCGTGCTGATGCGTGCGATCTGGTCAGCAAGACCCCGCCGCTACCCGTCGCTTGCCTCAGCCTGCCCTGCAACTCCTTCAACCCTTGGCCGTCCAGCCTCGTAGCCGCACGCGCCTATCGTGGCTCTGGACTCTGCCGTCTTTTATGCATTGTCGTCTCTATAGAATTTGGCCGGAGTTGCCCCGCCCCATATGCCGCTTCCCGACGCTCCTCCCCACGAAAGCCTAGACACGGTGCTAGAGAGTATCTAGGTCCGTAGGTCGAGGCTGAGCAAGTTTGCCAGGGATACTCTGAGTTTGGCCGTGCCAGAAACTTTTGCTGCCCTCTCCGCCGGCTGGCCGGCCTCTTCGAACGCGCCAAGAGGCTAATTAGAATTTCAGATCTAGTCATAATGTCGTTACTAAGAGAGCTCTGTACCCAGTGATTCTTCATATTTATTTTTCAGCTACACATACCCAGAAATAGCCATCGTCTAGCTGGCTGGAAAAGGGAGACAATGGCGAGTTAACGGATCCTCTAAACGTCTACTCAAATGAAGATCGACGGGAATACTACTGCTAGATAGGTGTCACGAAGAAGGTAGATGAGGGAGTACACTTCCCTAGACTTGGATACTCCTGTACTGTAGGCAGAAAAGTCACACGTATTATTGCATATTCATGGACTCAATAGGATAATATCCGTACTAACAGACTCATGCCCGTCAATGTGTCCCGACACTTCCGGAACCACCTAATCAGGACTAGTGCCGATATAATCAGAGATCATGAAGCAGAATTGCGGGGCAGCACTGGCGCCGATCGTGAATTTACAATTCAATGCCCGCTCTGGTCAGTTTAACAATCGAATGTATCCACTGGTGGATAGATGACTGGGGACGACCCGGCCGATGATGCATCTCAGATTCTTCCGAAATGACGCATCGACTCGCGCCTCTACTCCACGTATAGACGACACCAAGCCCACGTCAGCAGAGGCTAATCACCGTCCAAAAGAGCTGGCCTATTTGGCACAAAATCATTGGAACCCATCATTTACGCCAGATGCCCGCGAGGGAATAGATATAAAATTAATTTCCTACTGAGTCTATGGCTTTGAAGGACGGTGAAAGGTATCCGAATAGCTTCAAAGTCCAAAGGTAAACATGAAAATTTATACAGTTGATATTTTCTGATGAATACTGAGGGTCAAGCTCCTGCTGGCGAGGGAGTTCTCCTTGTTATCGTCAACATGCCCAGGTTTTACCTAGCCTCGCTTCACAACTCAGGAAGAACTTGCGCAAGGCAACACTATAGTGGTCGATACTCTGCGGCGGCAGTGGCCTCTGGGCTCAGATTTACTCGATATTCGAGGGCGAGAGCTAGAGGATTTGGTTACAAGAGTTACCTATTCTCTCAATTTTCGTCACTAGGACTACCCAAGCCAGTCTGGAATAGCACTGCTCTAACTTCAGCGGGATGGGACCAGGTGAATTAGTCTTGAGATAAGAAAAATGCGCTACTGGGAGAGGACTTCGAGGTCTCGCATACCTAGGAACCCCTTGCCGTAGATAACGCATAAGATTCGCGAGCACGACGCAACAAGGAGAGAGGCTTCATAGATAGGTAGCCTCTTAAAAAGATCCGTCTACTTTTGATCTTACTTTAGACTGGCCTAAGCGGCGTACCTGTTCTATGCCTTAGCTCACCTATGATCACCTTGATGTACTTCGATATAAGGGCAAACATCTAGATCATTCCAGATGTGCGTGGCCGGGCTCAATGGAAGGGTGAAGCTACGAGGATAGTAAATTTTATCGCTTACAACGCCATTGTTATGACTTAACTGCAAAGATCAACAACAACGAAGGAACTAACAAGATTTAATACTGACTTGATGGTATCAAGATGCCCCTGAACCGTCCGTGTAGATTTTAACGGCTAAGAAGAGACAGGACTATTATAACCCGTGCCCCGGCATCTGAGAAGTATGTAAGGCGCTCCATGGTTTTTGAGTGTGACATGTCTGGATTTCACACGGCCGAAATTGCAGAAATCTCCCTGTATCATAAGCTTTCTTCACCAACCGTGCGATTCATATTTTTCCGGTCTAGAGCATTAATTTTTAAACCGGTCTATTCTGCTTCTGTGATGGGGCCCCTCTGCATCTGTCGCTTTTGAAGAGCAAGAAAACGACCATGAGAGGAACCTGTAATAACAAACGCCAAATGGGGACTGTTCTCAACACCTGTCAATGCTGTCCCCTACGAGCCTCCAGATCTCACTATAGAGTCTGCAGAGCCGAGATTGAGTAACAAAGTCCTCACTTCGACGAGGATTCCCAATCGCTTTCGCGGTCTGTGTTGTCTTCATCTCTCAGCACATCCCCCCTATCACCATTATCATGAAGCTAACCACGATCAGATCAGATGGCAGGATCGAAGCTCTTCTCATCACCAACCCTTGATCATGGAGGAGAAGCCATCCGATGAGTTTCCGGAGCGTACCCAGCACCCGATACGGCGATGGTGGATTGGATCAAGTCGGCCTCGACTGTTACAAAGAAGGGAGACATAGATGGATATGCGCACCTCATGTGGTCCCGGTGTATAGGCCTCGCCTGGCTGGGGCAGCAGGTTTTTTGGGACTTTTTCCTGCGCACGCAGCTTCCATTGCTACGATTTTTATTTTTTTGTGTAGAAGGTTCCGTGGAAAAAGTGGCTGAATTCCACGGGTAAATACTAAGCTGAATGGCTATTCGTCAAGGGCAGTATATCAATGTCCTTTCAAGAAACATGAAGAGCAAGGTGCGCTGTACAAGGTGTGGTCTAGGTCAGAGAGGAGCCCAATGTGCTAGATAGTCTATGACTTCAATAATACAATAAGCACCCCTCTCTCATTCGTGTCAAAGATGACTTCATGTCACGGGCCGAGGAACAGGTGCTGGAGCAACTATGTGGTCGATTTCATGTAAATTATCATTCTGGGTGAACTAATTCGGTCTCAATCTAAGCCTACATATGTACATTGTCTCCGTGTTTATGAGGCAGGATTCTCCCCTGTCTCGGGTCCAATGGTATTCTTCACACGCGTTGACCCTACTTGTTGTAACACCTCAACGTGTTATAAGTATGTGATCCAATAATGCTGCCCTGCCAAGCTAGATACCAATGCCCTGATATTCGGTTGAGTGGCATGATACATCCACGCCTTGATGTGAATCGATCAAGCGCCACCTACGTCAGGCCAGGCTCATGTTGGCAAACATTTGCCACAGGAACAAATCAGCTTCCAGTCGTCACACTTCATCATCCTCAGTTCTCGGCGGAATGAGAGATAGAGATGGTAGAGCCCGGTTTATTACTGAGAAAATGGAAGACTGATCAGTATAAGATTATACTGAGCCTTATCTCCAAGTACACCTTGCAGATTCTTTGAGGGAGAGGAAAATTCTAGATTTCGGACTTTTCCATTCGAACACGCTTGTAAAGATACTGAAATTACGATATGACTGCGATATTCGCGCTAATATAGGAAGGAAAAGCTAGAGGGTATCAAGG